ACCATTTGGTTGGGGGTGGTGTGATAGAAGATATAAATTAATTTACTAGTATTTATTTCATTTTAAAAATTCAGTTTGAAATATGTTTTTACTTTTCCGCACAAAAATAAAAAATAAAAAATAAAACTCTATTATACACCATTTATTTCATGATATTAAGTAATGTTTATTTCTTTAAATCTAAATTCAAGTTTTTTTTTTTTAAATTTTGTTTATTTTGTTATATTTATAGATTCATGATGGATAGTCAAAACACCTGTTTAATTGATAGTGCAACTACACATACTATTCTTCAAGACAAAAAAATACTTTTTGGACTTAATATTAGTTGAAAATAATGTTAACACGATATCGGGTGCGTCGAATATCGTTGAAAGCTCCGGAAGAGCTTGTATTATTTTAATACAAAATTATATATTCACGATGCACTTTATTCTAACAAATACAGAAGAAATTTGTCTAGTTTTAAAGATATTCGCTGCAATGAATATCACATTGAGACGATGCAAGAAAATATTGTTGAATATCTTTGCATCACTTCTTTTGTATCTGGCAAGAAGCAGATAAAAGAAAAATTTCATGCACTCCTGTCTGGCATGTATTTTACATTTATAAAAATGGTCGAATTAAATAATGTTACGAACCGAAAGTTCGTTGATTCAAAAAGTTTTATACTTTGGCATGATCGACTTGGACATCCAGGAGCCATAATGATGCGTTGAATAATAAACAACTCACATGAACATCCTTTAAAAAACCAGAAGATTCTTTTATCTAATGATTATCCATGTGTAGCTTGTTCGCAAGGCAAGTTAGTCATTAGACCTTCAACTACAAAGGTCAATATTGAATCTCCAACTTTCTTGAAAAGAAAACATGGATATATATGTGGTCAATACACCCACCATGTGAACCGTTTCATTACTTTATGGTATTAATTGATTCTTCTATAAGATGGTCACATGTTTGCCTACTTTTAACTAGGAATGTAGCATTTGCTAGACTATTTGCTCAAATCATAAAATTGCGAGCACAATTCCCCGATTACTCAATCAAGACTATTCGTCTTGACAATACTGGTGAATTTAGATCATAAGCATTTAATGATTATTGTATGTCAATTGGGATTGAAATTGAACATTCAATTGCACATGTTCATACACAAAATGGTTTAGCGGAATCGTTTATTAAATGTCTACAACTTATTGTTAGACCATTACTTATGAAAACAAAACTCCTAACTTCTGTTTGGGGTCATGCCATATTTCATGTTGTATCATTGGTTCGTATAAGACCAACTGTCTATCATCAATATTCACCTTTGCAACTTGCATTTGGTCATGAACCTGATATTTTTCACCTATGGATTTTTGGTTATGCTGTCTAAGTTCCTATTTCACCCCCCACAACGTACTAAAATGAGTCCCCAACGAAGATTTGAGATTTATGTGGGTTTTGATTCACCATCTATTATTAGATATCTTGAACCTTTAAGGGGTGACATATTTATTGCACGTTTTGCAGATTGTCATTTTGATGAAATAACTTTCCCAACTTTGGGAGGAGAAAAACTACATCGTGAAAAACAAGATAGAATTTCTTGGAATGAGACAACTCTATCTCACTTTGATCCCCACAACAATCAATGTGAACAAGAGGTTGAAAAAATCATTCATTTGCAAAGAGTTCCAATTCAACTACCTGATGTATTTATTGACACGAGAAAAGTGACAAAATCATATATTCCAGCAGAAAATATTTCAGCAAAAATTAATGTCCATGCAGAACAATCTGCTGTGGCAAATGAATCTCAAATACGCCAGAAGCGTGGTCGACCAGTTGGTTCAAAAGACTATGTACCTCGAAAAAGAAGAGTACAGGAGAAAAACCAACCAAAAACTTCAGAAGAAATCACATTAGAAAAGATTGATCAATCAAATATTAAATGTACGGTTCCTAAAGAACCAGAGGTATCCGAAAATAATGAGATCTCAATAAATTATATGATATCTGATAAATTATGGGAACGAAATAATATTGTTATAGACAATATTTTCACCCTTAACATGGCTCTTGATATTATGCAAAATGAGAATTCTGAATCACAGTCTGTTAATGACTGTCGAAATAGAAATGATTGGCCAAAATGGAAAGAAGCCATGCAGGCAGAATTGAATTCTTTGGAGAAACGAAAAGTGTTTGGACTAGTAGTTCGAACACCTAAAAATGTAATCCCTGTTGGATACAAATGGATTTTTGTACAAAAGAGAAATGAGAATATGAAATTACAAGATACAAAACCCGACTAGTGGCTCAAGGTTTCTCCCAAAGACAGGGAATTGATTATGAGGAAACATATTTTCCTGTAATGAATACCATCACTTTTAGGTTCTTAATTAGTTTGACCGTATCACAAGGGCTCGATATGTGCCTTATGGATGTAGTAACTACCTACCTATATGGTTCACTTGACAGTGACATATATATGAAAGTCCCTGAAAGATTTAAGGTGCCAGGAATAAATGATACATGTCCGAGAACTATGTTCTCAATTAAATTGCAAAAATCATTATATGGATTGAAACAATCCGGACGCATATGGTATAATCGCCTTAGCGAATATTTGTTGAAAGAGGGTTATAAAAATGACGATATCTGTCCATATATTTTCATAAAGAAAACAAATATTGGATTTTCAATTGTGGCAGTTTATATTGATGATTTAAATTTAATTGAAACTCCTGAAGAGCTCAACAAAATTGCAGATTATTTGATAAATGAATTTGAGATGAAAGATTTGGGAAAAACCAAATTTTGTCTTGGATTACAAATTGAACATTTTTCAAAGGGATTATTTGTTCGTCAATCTACTTATACAGAAAAAATCTTGAAACGCTTTTATATGAATAATGCACATCCATTGCCATCACCTATGGTTGTTCGAACACTTGATGTGAAAAAAGATCCATTTCGTCCACTTGAAGATGGAGAAAAGATTCTTGGTCCTAAAGTACTATACCTTAGTGCAATTGGAGCATTAACTTATCTTGCAAATTGCACTCGACCTGACATAACTTTTTCTGTAAATCTCCTTGCAAGATATAGTTCTACACTAACTCAAAGGCATTGGAATGGTGTTAAACATATTTTTCGTTACCTAAAAGGTACTATTGATATGGGACTATTTTATTCTTAAAAGTCAGGATTTGCTTTAGTGGGATATGCAGTACAGGTTATCTCTCCGATCCACATAAAGTTAAATCACAAACAGAATATGTGTTTACACGTGGAGGAACAGCTATATCATGGAGATCTGTGAAACAATCTTTAACAACAACATCCTCAAATCATTTTGAGATTATTGCAATCCATGAAGCAGGGCGAGAATGTGTATGGTTGAGGAATATGACCCATTATATCCAATCATCATGTGGATTGATTTCAACACAAGATAGTCCAACAATTTTGTTTGAAGATAATACAGCTTGTATCGCACAACTCAAGGAAGGCTATATCAAAGGCGACAGGACGAAGCATATTTTTCCAAAATTCTTTCATACACATGAATTTCAGAAGAATGGTGATATTGATATTCAACAAATTCGCTCAAGTGACAATGTGGCTGATCTATTCACAAAAGCGTTGCCAACATCTACATTCAAGAAATTAGTTCACGAGATTGGAATGCGTCGACTCAAATATTTTTAGTGATCAAAATCAGGGGGAGTCGCTGTACTCTTTTTCCTTCGTTTAGGTTTTGTCCCATTAGATTTTTCTAGCAAGATTTTAATGAGGCAACATTTAATTTTAATACTCCAAAATAACTGTACTATTTTTCCTTCGTTTGATTTTTTTCCATTGGGTTTTTATCAAACAAGGTTTTAACGAGGTAGATATTTTGTAATATGTCATTCAAGGGGGAGTGTTGTAAATGGAAAGTCCATTAAAGTTTATTGGTGAATGACATTTATACCCCTGTAGCCCTAGAAATTATTACCATTGTATCCCTAATTCTTACCTATAAATATAGGACTTTGGTTTTCAATAATATACACAAAAAGTTTATTGAGTTTTCTCTATTCTTTTTTCCTCTCATTTTATAACAACCACAACAAATTTACAATTATATTCATAATCCAATAAAAACTAAAAATGAAAAAAAAAATGTGGTGTACTTATCATCCTAAGATTACGTCTCATTTTTTCATCCTTTAAACATTTTCACTAATTCTAAAATAAGAATTTGCAGTATCTTTTCGTTACAGAAATTTTGCACCACGATGGTGTTTTTAATTGCTTTTAACGAGATTTTAATTGTAACAATATATGTTGAATTTTTTAAAATAAATTTAGACCATCTGTAGGAAGATTCCATATTTAACTTCCCATCATCCTCTCTCTTTTTTCTCAATGTTTTATGGTTTTGGTGTGTTATAGATGGAGAGAAATTCATATACCTGCATATACAAAAATTCGAGGAAATTGACAGATCTCATATACCAAAATCCACGAAAGCTAAAACATAAGTTCATAATTTTCCATGCTTGTTTAAAATCATAATAAATCTATTTGACTTAAGAAAAAATAAGATCCTTAATTTTCAAACTTAACAAATAAATTGAAAAAATGAATTCATTTACAGTAAGGAAAAAAATTATCTTGCCGCCGTGAAGGAAGGCAAAAGTTGTCGGAAAAATTATGAACAATGAAATGTTGCACTACAATTTTCTTATTTACTAAAATATCCATAAGTAAAATTACATAATTAGAATTCTAATATACTTTTTAATTAAATAAATTATTATTACACCACAAATGTAAAACTTAATTTCTTTCTTCATTTTTTCCTTACATTTCATTGTTCATAATTTTTTCGACGGCTTTTGAATAGAAAATCGTTGTCAGGGACAATGTGCTACTCAATGAAAGGTTAAAAATAAGCCTACAAAGAAAAATGTCGAGAAAATGAGTATGTCAATACCTTTAATATAATTAATTAAAATACGGCATACTATGGACTTCGACGGACTGAGACGAGAAACATTTTTGTCAATTGGCGTTTGAAACCCATGATATCAGACCTTTGTTTGGCACAAATTGTAGTTAGATCACCTTTAAATGTCTCGTGTCTTCGAGAAAGACGATGGAGAAATAATCAATGAGAGGGTAGGAAGACGCTGCTGAAGAAGATCATATTTTTTTGAAGTGTTCAAAAAAGGCGAAATTCCTCCAAATTTAGGAGCTATAGGGCAAATTGAGAAGATCAATGGCCAATAAACCTTCATCCTCGTCCCTTCCTTCCATCAATGAAGACATCGCTGCCGTAGAGGAAGTGCCGCTATACGGGTCCGAATCGGGCTGGGTGGAGGCCCGAACCCACTGCGATCACCTTGCTTCTTTGTCGCAGGATCTTACTCATATTCCAACACCGGATACTCAATGCAATAGGTCCGCCTTCTTAAATTCTAGATCCTCTTTTTTAATTACGAGTCTCTATCTTCATGAGAACAGTACATTGGTATATTGAATGTTTCCAAGAAAAGTGCGATAACCTAGCAGTTAATTTTTGAACTGACACGTCTAATTGGCATATGGCAATTTAGAATTTCATGGTCTTAGTTGATGAATATAGGAAGGAAAGGCAATTCTCAAACCGATGTATACATTAGAGTTTTATATATGTTTTGAAGCCCCTTTTGCCTATCTGTCGTCAATGTCCACCCACTCCCCTTGCCCATTTCAATGTCCTCTGCAAGATACTTCATGAACCATCTCCAAGCTAGCGTGTTCTCCTTTTGTACAACAGCTTACACCACTGGGTAGATACAATCTTTAGCATCCTGTCCTACTGCTTTTAACGTAATTCCATCGAAACAACCCAGCAAATAGTACCCATCAACACCAACCACTTCCTTCAACCACTTGTAAACCCGACTCTGTAGGCCCTGAAGCATATGGATATGCCTCGGAAAACTTGCTCATTCAGGACTATCATTACAGTTGATCCAGGGTTCGTCCTAAGTACCTCCGCATCATATCTCCTCAAATGCCCGAATTGTTCCTCAATTGTACCAAACAACAATTTCTCGGCATATTTCCTCATCTTACAAGTCACATTTCTACTGTTCTCCATCTTCAGTTTATCATTCACAATCGCCAACTAGACTTTGTTTTCCAATCAGGATTTGCCTTAAACTTTGAATATATCGATGTGTCAAGAAGATATAGTTGCAATGTCTGTTATATTGGCTCGGTGTGCATGTGTGCTCGGGGTGTAAGACTTCACTTGAACTATCCCCCCATCTCATTCAACTTTGATACCCTTATCCTCTAGTTACACCCAAATTTGCAAATTCCTTGAGCTCTTTTTCTATCATTACTCTTGAACTTGACATTATATCCATACAAAGCACAATAATTTCTCACTGCATTTCGAAATTCTTGCATTGACCAAAGTAGCTGTCTGACCTCATACTGTGGATCCCTCATGCTGTGTCAGCCAAAAGTTCTGCAAAGCAAAAGCCAACCCCTTTGTCTGATGAACAATCCAACAACTTTACCTCTGTTTACTCCCTCCATTCGTGCAAATTTAAACCTCCTTCAGATGTGCTCTTATCCAAATCAGCAGGCTATTTTCGAATTTTCATTGCTGCGGATTTGGGGGTTAGGATTTGTGACGTGGTTGGGCAGGATGGTGGGTTTAGGGGGTTCAAAATCATCTGAAGTTGGGGAAGAAAGATGATCCATTTTCTGGCAATCGTGATTTAGGGTTCCTTTTTTGGGGGAATATTGATTTGGGTTTATCTAAATTAGGGGTTTTGTTTTGGTTTGCAAGAGTTGAAATCGTTTTTTTCTGGAACACGCCTTTACGCTGCAGTAATGAAGCCACTGTCAACTGCCAACTAGGATTCCGTCTTGCCAACTCAGTTGAAATTTGAACTTTGGGTGGCGAGTGATAGATGGAGGGGCTATTTTGTAAGTTCAGTGACTAGTCAGAAGAATCACAAAGTAGAGTGACTATAACATAACATTATACCTAGTTCAGTGATTAATGAAACTTTTTACTCTTGATTCATGCCTAATCACAAACTTTTTACCCGACAGTGTGATATATCTCAAAAATTCTATTATCCAACTGCAAGAAATGAAGTTAGAACATGAATTGGACAGATTGTAAGATTTGCACTGGCATAATAACGTAAAGAGCATCTTTGCAAGCTTTGAAATGGGACTCCATAAAGTAAATTGAAAATTTTGTTTAATTTTTCATCTGATTATTTACTGACTAATTTTAGATCTTAGTTTCATACTGGCAGTCTGCGCTTAAGGTGTGTCTGAAGCATGGAAAACCATGAGATGTGTTCATCAGATAGACTTGAATTTGTGTTATCTGGTTTAAATGCAATAGAATGAACAAATTTAAGTGATATATATGTTTCATAAAGTTGAATCTTTTATCACCACTGCTCTTATTTTTTTCCACCATTTCCATTGTTAACTTACGATGACTGAATGAGAATCCATCAATTTTGTCTTTGATTGCAGAATCTAAACTAAATTTCAAACTTTTCTTTAATGCTTTGCTTCTCTGATATCAAGAAATTAAAACTTTTTCTAACCGAGCTTTGATGAGTTGATTCCATCCTTATCTCGTTTTTTAAGAGTATAAATTTCCAAACGCAATTCATGATTTGAGGTTCTCCAATATTTGGACCTCTAGAGTAGAAAAGTTTCCACACCCAGGCTTTTCTGTGAATTAAATTGCACTATGTATTCTAGATTGTTGCGTTCTGTTGATTTTTGTGCTATTTATGAACTTTTTGTTGTCAACCTTGAAGAGCTAACATGTTTTCTGACTGTAACAATGTCATGAAGGTGCCAACATCCCAATGAGAATTGGCTATGCTTATGCTGCAAAGATGTCCTTTGCAGCCGTTTTGTGAACAAGCACATGCTCGAGCATTATCATCAGAGTAACCATTGTCTGGCACTAAGCTATAGGTTCTTGCGAGTTTCTTTTCCTTTTATTTGTTGGTCAAAAAACTATATTATTCGTCTCTTGTTCCTTTTTCATTACTTAACCTGATCAGTCTGCGGCTTGTACTTGGAACAGTGATTTATCAGTGTGGTGTTTCTCATGTGATGCTTATCTCGACGCTCAAGTGATATTGTCCCTGCGCCCCGCTTACGAAACTGCGTACTTACTGAAATTTGGTGAAGCTCCACCACTTCGGAGTTGACTTGAAAGGGCTAGTGCTCAGCTTTATGTAATTTTTATGGTCTCTGTTTCTATCTTCCATTGCCCTTCTCGGAAGAGGGCGAAGGGAATGTGAAAGGAGTCAAGTACCGACTTTTGAATGTTTCTGGTTATCAAAGTGTAATGTTTAAGAAAAAAGAAAATGGTATTTCACATATTATCATTTGAATTATTTACTTGCAGAATTAAGCAACGCAACTGTGATTTGATGACTATCTTGTTGAGTTTTGGAAGTGATTTCACATACGAATTTTCAGTTTCTGCTTTTGTGGGATGGATATAGTGAATGACAGTTGATTTTCATGAATGAATTTACGAACTCTATTTTGTAATGATTTGTACAATTAGTAACAAAATTTTTCTTGAAGTCCAGCATCTGTATTGGATGTTCTTAACAAGAGAGAGAAGCAAACAAGAATTCGTCAATCAAATTGAAACTGGTTAGTGACCAACTAGAGCTACAAATTTCAATGGAGAACATCCAATGCTTTATATGTATTGCTTTAATCTCATCTAATAATTTCTGTATGAAACTCGTACAGATACAGTGTATCAGAAATAATAGCTCTACAGCATGTCCAGATTATGTCCTCATGGCGGACATGTTTAGTAAGGTAGATTGATGGTAATGACAGCATTAAAGTCCAAAAAGAAGCAAAATTTCTGTTCATTGAATTCTTGAAATTTGTCCAATAATGCTTAGATGCTCATAGGGGATGTTAATTTGGAGATCTATTCAACAATCATTGTCGTTCCGACTTTCTCTAAGTTCGCCATGTATGTCATGTAAATAGTCCACAGGTAAGAAATCGAGTTGCTCACTAATGGCTGCCACATTGAAAACACAATAACAACCATGGGTTTAATTGGAGACACATATAATCCATAACGAAGAGGCAAAACCAACAAAGGAAAAAAAAAAAATCAGTTGCAAAGCAATTAGTCTTTTCGAATATGGAGGATCTCACCTGTAAATATACTGGGATGAATTTGAAAGTCACAAAATCACATACAGGCCCCCACGAATCATTGTTGGGATCAAATCACGCTTCAATCTAGCGACAATCTCAGAATCACTTTCACCTGAGTATTGCAAACAAGAGAGGAAGTACTCCATGAAAATAAGCTATACGATACACATACAACATGAGTAGCTCTTGAGTAAAATGCAGCAGATATAATCCTCAAACTGCTATAAACTGTGTCCTATAATGTATCTATAATATCGATTTAACGATATGTAACAGCAAGATATATGCGACATGGTTTGTACACACTATATTATGGCTGAACTCAGGTTAGCTCTTCATAGCCATTATGAAAGGTTAACATTGACAAGATAAGATTGGTTTTTACATCACAAAATAGCGCTAAAATGGAAAATACGTAGAATACAAGATTGCATTGCGAACATAAAAGTGAAGACACAATACCTTGTAAAGCTGCATTAACAGAGAAGAAAATAAGTCATTGCAGGTCCATAGACTGTCTGCCCCAAAGCTATTTTCTTAAACGTCGAAAGAAGATCATGCTTAGGAAATGATCTTGATACAAAGTTGAACCAATAACGTAATGAAGGCCCTAATATCACTATTCCATAACCAGCCATCCGTAACGTCCTCACCAAATCATATCCCTCTGTTTATTCCCCCAAAATTGTCTGTACAAGATTTTATAATCAGACAGGTTGATGTAAATTAAAGAGATATTAAGGGATAACATGTTCTTCTTCGTAGAAGGTAAGACACTAAATGGTTAGGGAAAGTCCAATATAAAAGAATGTATTCTTAAATTTATAATACCAGTATTCAACTTAAGAACGGTTATAATTATATAGCATCAAATGAATATTAAAAATAACATCCGGTTTGCAGTCATAAGAAATTCTACTCTCAGTTAAATACAAATGTTCAACGGTTAAAAAAAAATCGAAGCTTTCAAATTAATTCACCATCATCAACCCTAAAGGGAAGCACAGTGGTCAGGTCTTGAATTTACTCCCAATAGTCATCAGTTCGAGTCCCCTTAAGCCCATTGAGGTGAATAGCCGACTGTAAATTTCAAGCCCATAGGATTAATCGAGGTGTACGTAAACTGACACCATCATCATTGATTCATTATCATCTTTATCACTACCAACATCATCAGTATAATACCAGCATTCAACTTAAGAATGGTTATAATTATATAGCATCAAATGAATATTAAAAATAACATCCGGTTTGCAGTCTTAAGAAATTCTACTCTCTGTTAAATACAAATGTTCAATGGTTAAAAAAAATAAATTGAAGCTTTCAAATTAATTCACCATCATCAACCTTAAAGGAAAGCATAGTGGTCAGGTCTTGGATTTGCTCCCAATGGTTATCAGTTCGAGTCTCCTTAAGACCACTGAGGTGAGTAGTCGACTATAAATTTCAGGTCCCATGGGAATAGTCGAGGTGTGCATAAGCTGACACCATCATCATTATCATCTTTATCACTACCAACATCATCAGCGAATGACATCATCTCCATATCTCATTCAATAACAAAAGTTCGACCATTCCAAAAAGTCATCTCCTGCCACATTCACATTACAGTTAATTCAAGTAGTTTTCTTGATGCCTTAATAGAAGACAGATATTACTATACAACTATAGTCATTTTACAATTGTTATTATAATTGAATTTATTAGGCTACAAAAATTGGTTAGTTTAGAATCCAGTACAAAGAGAAAAACAAAAACCATTAACAGAATATTACTCTTTAACATGTAATCTTTCATGTGTGGTGTGGAAAAGGGGAAAAACAATTGCTAAACAAATTGTTGAATTTTCACTTCCCTTCGTAAGTTTTCTTCTTTTCAAATGATTCATTCATTTATTATTCTGCTACATAGTTCGTACTTTAATTTACTTTATCTTCATTTGATCTGCCAAATGGACAATGAAAATTTGGTTTGTTTACTAATTAGCAGGGTAGTAACATTAAACATGTAATTTGAAACATAAATGAAGTTCTTGTTGTTTCTAGAGTTTGACGTTACTCTTTCGAAACCAATCCGACAGAATCACCCTAATGTAAGAAATGATTAACAGGATCCAAAATGTAATTCGAGCCCACCGACTTCACGATGTTTCCTTAAAACGAATTTGCTGCCTTCAATGGTGCTAAAGGCGTCCAACAATCGTTTTCCAGAATAGAACGAATTTTCGTCTCCTACGGAAGCAGCACTGCAATCTGCAGGAGTTCCAACGAACTCAACGAAATGTGTTTTACTTCGAGACAATATCAGAAAGAGAGAGGGGAATGAGATTTAAAGCACAGAAAGTTTGCAATGAAAATGGTGTAAATTTTCTGGTAGAGAGACAGGTTATTTATAGATTTATTCGTAGCCATTCGAACAGTCATCACCTTTTAGACAAACCTCAAAAACCCGAACAGACATGCTATTCTTAAAAGTCGCGTCTGTTAAGTCGGTTAACAGTCGACTGTTTGGTCGGTAAACAGACGACTGTTAAAAAACACCTGGAATAAACCAAAAATTTAAATTTCATAATGTACCCAAGAATTTGATTATTTACAATTTGACCCAAAATTTTGTCCAAAAAGTTAATATAGTGCAAAGGTCCACCCGCACCCGAACCGGACCGGACTCGGACATGGGCACGTGCTCGTGCCGTGTCGTGCCGAGTCAAGCCGGCCGGTCCGACGGACGACGGCGCGCACGTGTGGGTTTATAACCGAACCCAATAGGATATAGATCTTCCCCCTTCCAAAGACTATTGGTACCCCTTGGGGCCCAAACCCAATTCCAAATTTCCACCTTATAAACCATACCAAAGTTTCCTAACTTTCCTACGTGGGATAAGTGTTTGAAAAATCAAATTCTTCCATAATACTTAGTTTATGTGGGTTACTTTAACACTTAATATTTCATTCAATTTTAAATGGTTTTCGACAAATAAATATATCACGTTAATCATCTCGCGGAGTAGAACGTGAATATACTAGGTCCCGTATTAATTAAGAGGTGGGTCCTACTGAAATTTGGGCTCAAAGTTGACCCATTTCATAACCATTTTTCCAACAATCCCTCACATGAATGAAATATGTTGACCTTATTCTAAACGATAACATCTGATATGTTTTTCAAAAAAAAAAAATTGAAGAAGACTGCATCGGGATAAGTAGTCAATGACTTTGAACTTTCTCTAGTAAAATCTATCGGATTTCCTTAGCCAATCAGTAGCAAGTTGTTTTGAACAGTCAGCCGTTTATGGAAACCTAAACAATAGAAGTTACACAATTTTCTTCGAACACAGTTGGTTCTCACGTTTGTGTCCATTTTGGTCTTGGACACCTCCTGGTTCATGAGTGGTTTTTAGAGAATTCATCATCACCTAATTCTCTTAGAAGCGGCCCCTTCTCACTCACATAAGTGATTTCCATAAAGAATATTCTGCTATACTCCACTTGAACGAATCAAGATATAGAAATCATTAAAAGTGTATCTTAACCTATTTCACGACAACTGGGCACTGGCTCATCATAGGAATGGGTAAAAGTAAAATCTTCCCAGTGCGTACTAAGTTTTTCACAGTTCGGTTGTCTCATTGAACCTAGATCTTAGGATCTCCAGTCAACTAGGTTGGGTTGCCACCATGGAAACTTTTGATTATTTTATTAGTTTTAATCCCATCCCCTTCGATGAACTTTCTACTTGCTCTCTTGTTAAATTTTTAGTTTGCTGATCCACAATATTCTCTTTTGATTTCACATACTCTATAGAAATAATGCCTGTAGAGAGCAATTGTCTAACAGTATTGTGTCTACGACGTATATGTCGAGATTTACCGTTATACATTACATTTTGTGCCCTACCAATTGCTAATTGACTATCGCAATGGATACATATAGCAGACACAGGTTTTGTCCAACATGGAATATTTTCTAGAAAGTTTCGTAGCCATTCGGCTTCTTCTCCGGCTTTGTCTAATGTAATGAATTTAGATTCCATTGTTGATCTAGGTATACATGTCTGTTTTGAAGATTTACATGATATTACAGCACCTCCAAGTGTAAAGACATATCCACTTGTTGATTTGGAGTTTTTAGTATCTGATATCCAATTTGCATCACAGTATCCTTCAAGTACTGCTGGATATCTCGAATAGTGCAATCCAAAATTTTGGGTATGTTTTAAATACCCTAAAACTCTAACAATAGCCTTCCAATGATCAGTGCTTGGATTACTTGTATATCGATTTAGT